TATTAAAAAAAAAAAAAAAAAAAAAAAAAAAATTGAAAACAATATCTATTTTCGTGACTATGATAACAAATAATTAAAAGAGTTATTGTTATTGTTATCTCGAACAAGTCAATTGACTGTCCATGAATCGTCGACCGCTTCATAAAGAAATCAAATACATTACACGGTGTCAAAACCCTTTGACTTTTAGGTTACATTACGAACAAATTAAAAACCTATTTACCATCTAAGTGTTTCACTGTACCAGTATGAGTAATCATAGAATGCCGATAAAAACAGGCCTTGGGCGAGGACAGTTTTATTATGATCAAATTAAATATTCATCGTTTGATATTCATGCGAGAAATTGCGATTTTTTTAAATGTGACGGACACGACAGGAGAGACGCGTAGGCGACCCCATAGGACACATTAGTTAGTATCCTCATGATTTATTACCATTATAATTTTATTTGNTCAAATTAAATATTCATCGTTTGATATTCATGCGAGAAATTGCGATTTTTTTAAATGTGACGGACACGACAGGAGAGACGCGTGGGCGACCCCATAGGACACATTAGTTAGTATCCTCATGATTTATTACCATTATAATTTTATTTGTTTTTTTTTTTACATCTGATACGTTTTTCAAATAGAAGAAAATATATTATATCGGCTTTCATGTTACACACAATTCGTTATGATATCGACTTACCTGAATCGATAAACCAAAACTATGCGATTCCATGACGTTTTTACTTATTATTTTTCTTTTATTTATTAAAATTTATCAAAAACATTGTAAATTAGAAATATTGTAATGAAAGAAAAAAATCGAAAACATAATAGAAACATTGGATAACTGTATAAATAAACTAGACGATAAATCGACTGGAATGCAATTCTTGAATAGCTACTTTCAATTAGATTATTGGTTGGTATAGAATGTTTTATATATATGTATGAATTATTAATTAATATTATCTGATAGGACAAGGCTCAAATTGACCCTATAATTAAAAACATTTAGGAATTTATTTTCGGTCGGTGGTATCACACAGCAATGTAATTAAGAGTTAAGGGCCAAAATTCATGTTACAAAAAATTATAAATACGTATAAAATAGATGATGAATCATACTTAGACGAGTATTTAGCTTTCACATGTGTTAAACAGTCCTCGTGAAATAAAAAAATAATAAGCCGTTGAAAATTTTTTTAGCTTAGAAAATTTATCAAAATTTTTCATTGTAATTCATTCAAATAATATAAATTAACAATTGATAAATTATAGGTTTTTAAACATGTAAACATTTAACTCACTAAGGGGTTATNAAAAAATAATAAGCCGTTGAAAATTTTTTTAGCTTAGAAAATTTATCAAAATTTTTCATTGTAATTCATTCAAATAATATAAAATAACAATTGATAAATTATAGGTTTTTAAACATGTAAACATTTAACTCACTAAGGGGTTATAAAAAAAAAAAAATTACTAAAAAACAAGAAATGATATGAGCTATACTGTTATCAAGTTCATAGTTAACTGAGTTTTGCGATATCTCCTTCACCAAAACCATAACGAATTGTGGGCGACATTTAATTGAAAATTTATTTTAACAGCAGGGAAAAATTTATGCTGTTTATTTTTACTATTATTATTTAACGTATTCACATTTTTATTTACCCTGACTGCAAAAAAATAAAAATGTCAACGAATGACAACGAGATGAACCATTTTATAGAAAAAAATAAATTTTTTACCGCAACCGTACGTAAATCCGGACACTGTTTTACACACCAACAGCATTCGAGTAGACAAAAAAAGTGAACAATATAAAAAATCGAGAAACGAAATGAGATAAGACCGCGCACTGTGATCAACTCTGTCGACCGGTAAATACTACTGTGGCTGGAGTTAGATTAAAATTAATGTCCGAAGAGACCTCATATGCGGCAGCGGTAACTTGGACTCCTTCCAGTCTCCGCATCAAACGAGCAATAACGCAATAATATTATTTTTTCGTGACAAGGTTTTCGTGGTGCCATCTATTAGCCGTTAATTTGACGTATAAAATGCAGTAACTGATTAGCGAACGGAATTTAACCTAAGTCAATATTTTTATTATTTGTCCGCGTGTAATGACGAAATAATGGCCGTAGTATTCATTGTGTATTAATATTCAACTTGTTACTAACGATTTATAGTATAGCACCTAATGGCTCAAGAGCTCAACGACGTTCAGTTAAATTCTTTTAGTTATTCAAACAAGACTTGTAGTACAAATAACGAAGCCTATGAAATTTATTGAATACTTAAAAGTCAAGTTCTTTATGACCGTTTCAGTTTATGCTACTATCTTTTCTAGATGATACATGTTACAAATCCATTTATTTCTTCAATAGCACGTTTTGATATCATTCCATAGAAAGAAAATTCTTAAAAGCTTTGAAACCAAGATATACAATTCATAGGCGTCTGCAGAAATTTGGGGCAACAAGAATTTGTACCGGTCTAGAATTTTGCTATATAGTCTATATATTATGATACTTAATTGGACTTCAAAATTCTTTTTAACTCATATTGGAAATTTTATATAATTAATCATAATAGTTCTCCTTTAAATCTTAAATAAATTAGAGTTTATTTTATGAAGTACTAATTTCAAATAAAATTAGACCAGTCAAGGACAGCAAAAGAAATCATTGATATCCCTGTACACACAGCTATGAAGGAATTAAAGTTATTTTATTTCATATATACCTTTAAATACTATTAAAAAATTCAACAAACTATGTTGGTTAAATTTCAAAGTGGCATAAATTTAATATATCATTTTTATTTTGTAACCAAATTTATCGAAATTATAATTATAATTATTAAAAATTGTAATAATAATTTCAAAAATTAATTTGACAGAAATACCTATTGAATGTTTTTTTTCAATTAATACATGTATAAAAATACATTCCAATTTATGAATTATTATTTCATGAAGCATAATATACAAGCTACAATTTGTGTGCAGTATGGTCGACTTAGATATTTTAATCTTTATAACTATATGAATAGAATAATTATGTTAAATTGATTGATTGTATAGAATTAACTATAATAGTATAACATCATACTTGGATAATAAGAAAACAATTTTTTTATGCCTAATCATCATTTCATTGACTATAAAAAATATAAAAGGATATTTAGATGAATATTGTATTCTAGTTATATCTAATAAAATAACTTTAGTTTTTCAAATTTTGTCTCTTAATAAATGTTTTCTTACTAGATAATAAATGTATCCAGTTATATGTAATAATAAAAATATTAATATATACCCAATTTTGATAGTTATCAATAAAGAAACAATAAAATAAGATCATTCTGAAAACAAAAAGTTTAATAAGAGTACATATATTTAAAAATTAAAGAAAAATATTAGATGTCTTTTTATGTTTATTTGTAGCAAATATTAATTAATTAGATTATCCAAAAATTAATTCTTAATGAAATAAAACTTTTGGACGATTAAAGAAATATGTTCTAAAAATATGATTGCTATGTATGTTATAAAACAACATAGTTAAAGCGAAAAATTTAAAGAAGGTTTTCCTATGTATCCTTATTTAGAACTTTAAAGTAGATCGTTTAACAGAATAAAGGTAATTCTTTTAGGATATTTTAAAATAATAAGTTTAAAATTTTTTTTTATAGATTTTGTTACATAAATATACATATATTGTTTTATCTGTTATAATATGATTATTAGGTTTTAATTTATTTTAAGGGTGTCAACATTATGTTTTTTAATGGAAACATACATATTAAACTGGCTTATTAAATAGAAAATGATGTAATTAATAAAATGTTCAATCAATGACAACTTTTTGATCAGTGTTTTGTAAGGTATTTACATTTTCATAAACAGGCGGAAGGATGTGTGTAACCAAGAAATTATTAAATATAGATACAAATTATAAGTATAACTGTGCTTCATTTCTAGTCTATATTTTAAAATGCTAATAACTTAAGTATTTGTCAAAAAGTTGTTATTGATCAATTATTGATATTTTATAACTTCGTTTAATACATATATTACCATTAAAAAAAAATAAAATTGACACACCTATAAGATATAAGAGATGAATCTCATAATTATATTCATTAAAGTCTTAAAATCTATTACATTAGGGTATTAAACATAACTAATATGCTTAGAGTTAAAATTTAATGTGTAGACTTAAATAACGTTTAGGTTATAAACATATAAGATAATAGTTATATAAGTCAGAAAAATTTATAGAGAAATAATTTTCAATCGTATAAATTAGTCATTATTTTTAATCTTATTTCCAACCATAACAGGAATAACTTTCATTAGAAGTTGATTCATTTAAATTTCAATTAGAGTTATTCTACAAAATATTGTAGTTTATTAAATATTTGTTATTTTTTACTAAAATTTAATATATTTTGCTAAAAACTTACTTGTCTATCCATGATTTAGGTAACTGTTTTTTTTCAAGCAATATACACCATTGTCTCTTGTTATTCCTATTATAATATTTATGAATTGTGTTAAAAATTTGTTGAGTACACATTAGTGAAAACAAATTTCATTTGTAATAAAATCAACATATTTTTTTACAAATAGAAAAGAAATGTAGGACATAATATTGGCTTAAAGCCAATGGTATACCTGAAGTATGCAGTATATGGTAGAAGTTGGTTAAACTACGTGCGTATTCTTTAATATTTTGAAAATTTATCAGCGCCTCAAGTAAAGGTTCACATACAATATTTTAGAGATATTCTTTCAAAAAATGTTATCAGAAAAAGTATAATAATGAGTGTTTTTTTAAATGTTATTTTATACAATAAATTGTAAGTAAGAAACAAAAGATATGAAACGTAGATGAATAAATGAACACTACTTTTACTTGATAAGCACCAAAATGACAAAAAGTAATTTGCTTCTTATATAGAATAGAACTATCTAAAAATATAAAATATTCACACTGATATCAGCCTGAAAACAACATAACTAATTATTTTTATTTTTAATGATTTTTTACTCCTGTTATCTGATAAGAAATGGTTCCTTAACGACAATACAGTTGGTATTTGTAGCGCTCTCTATGTGTATTTATACAATAAGCTTGGATAAATGACAACATTAATGTTTTACTATCCGTATAATTATTAATATGCTTCTTTATTCAAAATTAATTCAGAATTTTTTACGTGCTCAGTTTTATTTTTTTTTATTTGATGTAAAATACAATATTTTTGTAAGTGAAATACTGATCGACAGATGGAGTAAAAGTAGCCTCATATGATTCTTATCTGAAGAGTGGCCACACTGAATACTCAGAACAAATCTGCAAAACAGACGTGATACTATTCGCCTTAAGATAATATGTGATGCATTTTTTCTCGTATTGTTTTTTTTTTTTACCGGTCATTTACCTCTCCTTACCCCGTTAATTGGTCCATTGTAGTTACGGATGCCGTCTTCGCTGTATTCATTGCAGTGTTTGAGATTGACTGTAGTTCATTATCAGTAGTAACAGTGACGAAACATACTCTGTGTTTAGTAGGATAAGCGCCGTCGTCACTACTGCTGCCGGTCTCATTTTGCCAATTTCAAAACAAAAAAATAAATCCGTACCAGTCGCTTTTCTATGAGTCGCCGTCCATGTTGTGTTTGTTTTCTTCAAAATACCATTAGTTGTTATTAAGTTATACGATTTTTCTATGTTTATGTAGTGATTTCTAATTTTGAAGAAATATTAAATGCAATTTTTATTATGAATGTGCTTAAATTTGATTTAGTTTAGTTATATATTTTGTATAACTGTGAAAGTGTGATGTTAACCTGAAAATATAACTTTAGTCATGCGGTGACCTGGGACTGCGGTCCGGTCGCTGCGTATGGTGACCAATGAGTTGATGTAACTCAAAAGGAATATTTAGAATCTGCATCAACTAGCATGGATTTTGAAACTGACCAAAGCTTAAAAGATTGGGCTAAGGATAAACCACTTAGTATTCTCCAATTGGATCCGGCTGACAGAGCTGTACTCCGCATAGCCGGTAAGTTGTAATTTATTTAAAAATTTTTTGAGAAAAATAACATAAATTAAATAATAATTGGATAATTTTTTTATCTTATATGTCTCTAAGTATTTTTAAGTGCTTTTCAGACAAAGCAAATAGTTTAATTTTCAATCTATTGAATTATGTAAAGCAGTATTTACCTAAAATGTCATTTATAAAACATATATGTGTATATCTTCCCTTCTAAAGCTAATATCAGGCTTAAAGTAATTATTAACTTAAGTATGTTTAATTTGCTCATATCAAGCTTATTTGATCAGTGTAGCTATATTTTAAAATTACTATTGATATTAATTGATATTGAATGTTTTGTTTACAATTTTAATACTAAAACTTTATGATTTGTTTTGCATATCCCTAATCCTATACTATTTGTTTTTAATTTTAGTTATAAAAAAATCATTTTCATTTTGAAATTATTTAGAGTACATAGAGTATTTTCAATACTCTAAGTTCCTATTTAAATAGGAAAAAATGATAAATTATCATCAAATAATTTGTAAAAATCCCAAGTACAGTAAAAAAAGTACCTCGAAGAAAGCAAGAAATTTAGGTAAATTATTTCTGTAGAAAGGTTTAGAGAATTATGCGTTTAATTGTAATTTATATTTTTACCTACTAGGGTATCAAACCGTCCTTTCTTCTTAATGTTTACAAAATACGTTTAATAGTTCGTTGGCCCACTGAACTGCTAAACAGTTGTGTTTTTACTATTGATCGAAAGCATGGTACGGATCACGTGGTGTTTCCTAATCCGGTGCTAGCTCATTTACATATTAATATATACTCATATCGTCATATGATCATGGGTGTTCGGCAAGACGTTTGTCGTGTTCTTGACCTTGAACAAAGTCAGGTGCACGATCTCAGCCAATACCGCATTACATCGGTCATAGTTTATGTAACAGTATTCGTCGGTGAAATGTGTATCCTTAGGCAAAGAATAACAGTATTTCTATCGTAATTAAACATGTGCTTTCACCATAACATTCATTATCAAAGACTGTGATTAATATTCTGATCTTCAACATGGAAACTACTCGGTTAAAACTAGACGTGGTTCTATTATTTATAGCCCATTGAAAAATCGTCATAAATCATTTTATCATTCAGTATTTTAACAAGTCTGAAGTTTAATATCAAAGCATTATTTATTGTATAGTGTGCATCGAACGTTTTTTTTTTGTTAAATTATAGTATTACGGTTGTTTATGTGTGAATATATTTCAGAGTTTGGTACAATTGTTTTTTAAAAAGTTCAATTTTTGATGTAGTAAGTAATAGTGTGATGCGTTTACTGTTGAGAACCAAATTGTTCTAATGTGCTGGAAGGATAGTATAAATTTTACTGTTGATGTATTATTTTAAATAAAAATAATTGTTCCGTTTTAATTTAATCACTAGAAATTATTCTATTTTGAAGTAACCTACAGTGTTATTTTATTTATAGTCAAGTCGATGACATTGCGTCTACAGCCAAAAACTTATCGGAAAGACAAACTGTATTTTTTGACTAACTTGTATCATAATTTATTTTCAAGTTCATTTGTATAATTTATTAAGCCAGTATATTATGCATAAAACATATGCTTTAATAAAATAAAATTTAACCTGTTAAAACATAAGTTTTGGAAAAGAATTTTGTTAATAGTTTCGGTCATGATCATTAATTGTGTGATTAGGTCTGTTGAACAGTAATGTCGGGTGTTGAATGAAAGAAAAATGTTTTATTTATTTATCTATACTGATTTTAATTATAATTATAATGACTTATATGTTAATACATTTCGCCTTTGAAAATAGTTTGAATTTTGTGTACAAATCATTTAACGACCCGCTGGCATTCACCGGAAACGAACGGTTAGAGGCGATTGTTAATGAAATTTCTCACGCTTGTTAACCTGTCAATGTTTTTAAGTAAATCGGATACTACGATGGAAAATTGGTGTGGCCTCAGTGAAATTGATTTAAATCAAGAAGAATATCCGGCTTGTGACACACCGAGTATATGAGAAGATAACAACGTGCCAGTTGTTGCCAATCGATACTATTCTTAATGTACTAAATGCTACAGCACTAAGTGTCTAACCCGTTAAACATATATCCATATTAGTTTAATTATTTTATGATAACTCAATACGTGGACTTGAGTTTGATATTATTATAAATTAAAAACAACAGGTTAATGATATAGAAAGCATACATGCTTTATGTTTGATTAGCAATAATACTTAAAAAATTACAACAATATATGAATAAATTATCTTTAGACGATATAAAAGTTAATTTAAATTGAGTTTGTTTTCACAATCACAAAGAATTTTAATTGTGAGACCAGCATAATATTTTTGAAGAAAATTTATTAAGAATATAATTCTTTGTAAGTAATTGCGTTTCATTAAAAATTTATATTTTCTAAAAATATTTACACAAAAAAAAAAATTACATTCATTTACACACATTTGCCTTGCATATTATCTTTTTAATTTAAATGTAATGACACGTATACTCTCTATAAGTTACTAGAGTACCATAAATGTATGGTAATTTTACGCTCTTGGGCACTAAGCCACACTATGTGACAGGTACCTGCATCCTACTCTGTATCGACCAAATAGAAATTAAACTTTCAACAGGCGAGAAATAAAATCATCTATTTTTGTCTTACGACTTCATGAATCGCCAGCAAAAGCGATCCGTCTAAAAAACTCACACATGTTGTGCTTACGGTGCAGTATGGATCATCTGTTGTCGTGTCGTATCTTTGTCTAGCATTCATTTTTTTAAAGTGTTAACTGCAATGAGCCGGACCATTAATTAAAGTCAACGATGGAAACTAAAAATGTGATCTGTAGTATATGACATAACTTTTTCTTTTTAATTGTTAATTTTGGTCTTTTCAATTCATGTCTCCACTGTGACAAATGAAAGGAAGAATGGATTATATATTTATTTTTTTCGAATACTTGCAATGTAATCTTGTTACTAGCAATTTTTATCTTATTTACAGGCATTTTCGAATGACTTATCATTCAGCATAATTGTACTATAATGTTTTAAACCTAGTCTTCAATTTTTCACTGAATGACTTGTAACTACTTATGGTATTGATACCATTTTAGTATTTTAACCAATTACGAATTTAATATTGGAATTTATACAATCATATACTTTATAATAACTTTTTTAAACATTATATTTACATATTTGTCTACAAAACTCTGAATTTTGATATTAGAGCTTCTATCCATTTCAAAATACTATAAAAAGCTAATATTTGTATAAAAGAGGAAAGGTAAACGATGTGGCTAACATTTGTGCATTAAACTGTCACCAGTATGTTTTTCGAGGCCAGCAGTAAATGAAATATATGAAATTCAATATACAACAATATTAAGTTTAGATAGTAATTAAAAACTAAAATGGTTCTAACTTTATTTTACTAATGACTAGACGAATTATAAAAAAAAATGTAACCAGTTATTTAAGAATTTAATATGTACTATGTAGTCGTAGCTCTATGGTTATTTATTATTAATTATATAAAAGAAACACCATAAAGTTCGATGCTGTACAGATTATTTTAAAATTTAATTTTTTTCTCGAAATGTTGATTTATCTTAAGTATTTCTCTAATATTATTTATTTACTATAAGCAAAATTACAATGTACTTATAATTTTTAGCGGTATAATCAATAAATTTCATGTGTAGAATTTACATAACTGAACGTTAATGGTTCACTCAACTATATATAGTAATTTGTCGTAATCTACATAATTAAAGCTTTTAATCCATTGCTGAAACGTAAATCAAAATAATGAACATAATTATTTGCATAGATAATTTTTCGAAATGATATAATAAAATAATAACATTTATACACTTCTTAAATAGTATAATCGTACTTAAACTCAAAATATAGTAATTCTTAAAGGGCTAACGCATTAGAACAACTTTTTATTAACACTAAATTAATTATAATAGTATGTTCATGATCCGTTTCACATGTCTGCAGCGCACTGTTTAAACTCTAATCACTGACTACTGCGTTGGGAATGCGGAATTTCCTCTGAGTTGGACCTGCTACACGTTTCATTATGATTCATCTTAGTTGCGTTTATGTTCCGCGCAGGAAACTTATAGGGTTCAATGAATTTGGCTATTTCAACATTTATGTTGATGCATTTTATATACGCCTAAGATCTGATAAGTTTTTCAACTAAAACAATACTAGTCGCCTTGACAGCAGTATAAGACGTTAAAAATTCTGTATGCACACTCTCGGCAAACATGGAATAATTGGCTATGCCAAGATGTGCTTACTATCTATTAAACCTTCGTTTTAATATTCAATTAAGTGCCAATTATGCCGACGGTACCATAATTACTGAAGCGAGACGATTAGAGTATTTTACTTATTACTGTTGAAACGTACTCTGTTACCATTGAATTCTGACGCGTTGTATATTTTATTCTCGTTGTGAACGGAGCACAAGTAAAAAAGTCGACTGATCCTTATGTTTATACATTAGATATCCAAAATTTAACCACTCTGCTATAAGTCGCATGACATGACGTAATCTTCCAACAGTTTAAAAAATTACAACTATTGTTATGTTAAAATATTTGACTTTTGGCGAAGGACATAAGCCGTATCTGACATCGCGCTTGTTTCGAACTGGTAGTGATCCAAAGAAAACTATTGGAAATAGTTACTGGTATATTGTTTTTTGGTCGTTTGTTAATTATTTCGTTTGAATATTTACTCCTATTGTTGTCTTTTACAGTAATGACTGACGGTAAACCAAATGAATAATGATATTTTCTTTAGGTTATATGGTTAAATCGCTTTATAAACTATTTTAATAGTGCGATCGGCAACATCAATGGACTCTAACACAATGGTCTATACATTCGTTTGTCATATTTCCTTGTGCAACTTTAGTTTCATGTTCTACCAAAATTATTTTACCTATTTTATGACCTTGGCAGATTTAAATTGGGAGGAAAATATCACAAAAATCGTTGTATTGTTTTGTCTACTCATTTAACTCTACGTATTGTGTAGCGTGTAGTTAGTGTACTTGCAGTTTTTACTCGGGTAGTAATAAAAAATAAATTAGTGACACCACTTTGGGTAATATTCACATTTTCTATTTTAAAAACAACCACTATGTACCATTTTGTTCGTTTATTGGCGACACTGGCCTTATAGAAGACAATATTTTATGTCTTATTCAATGAAACAACAATACACTAAAATCTAAAATATTAATGGCATACTATAAACTTACTTAATAAATAAAAGCTTTTATTAAACATTTTATGTTGATATCCGATGATATTCATTGATGTAATTTTCCGTTTTGTTTATTGTTCATTGATTTTTATCGTTTATGGATTTTATTGTAAATGCAAAAGATGTATTCATAAATGCCAAAAAGTTTTAACTATTTTTATTTGATCACGATTGTTGTTGAATTACTTTTTCACCCGTTATTTATTTAACACTACTAAGTTTATCTCTAGTTTGGATGTACTGACTTTTGACACGCAGACATGCAATCATTATTCACCTGGGCACTTTTGAATTGCGTATTATATAAATTACAGCTGTCATGCAGTTTTTAAAGTTTGTTTTGTTTAAAATTATTATAAAAAAAATAAATAAATAAGTCCTTAATACTCTTAAATTTAATTAATTTTTATTCTACTGGAGTTATTTTTAAGTTCATAGATATTCGTCGATTTTCTAATGAAAAAAAAAATTGAAATTCAGTTAAAATTCATATAATTTATTAAGAATCTAAATTATTTGAATTTTATTTACACGACATATTATATAGTAAAAATTAATCACTCGTGGCTAATTAATAAAATAAAATAGTAATTTAGAATATTGCAAAAAATTTTACCTTTAATATTAAACCATTTCAAATTAAGAGATTTTCAACGTTTTTATTTTTGTTACTGACTGACTCATTATCAAAATTATTCCGTAAAATTTGATACAGAAGTCGGTTTATAGTGTTAGTAAAGTGAAAAACCTGAGAATTGTTATTTTTACAAAATAAACCATCTTACAGGCAAAATCGTCATCTGAAAACAGCAGGACGAACAGTCGCCTGTTTTGATTTTTTAGTGGCTATTATAATGATATCTAATTTGGTATAAACCAGCAAAAAGAAAAACTATTCTCTACAAGAACAAAACTATGCTAAAGGACCAAAACAGTGTGCTTATCAAAATGGTATTACATCGTGCCCAAGTTTGCTTGTTCTTTAATTAATAAACTTTGATCCTATTTTTATTAGTAACATTGTTGGTGATCAGTTAATATGATGAGCTTATTGTTTTTCTATATAAAGGTTATATTTTTTACGTGTCAAAAACAAATTTATTTCATACGTTGCACATAATATTTGTAAAATTAAAAACTTATCTTGCTGGTTTAAATTAAAATTAATTTTATTAACGTGCATTAAGATAGATCTTGATTTCACTGACCTACTTTCTAGTATTCCTTTTCATATCCCATCATATAGATCTCGAGATCCATTTGTCGTTTGCAACAGTCCTCTGTTACTTAATACTTATTTAGAAAAAAATATTAATTATATTTGTATATTTAAAATATAATGCTAATGGTTTTTAAGTTCTTGCTTTTTACTTGGTTTGTTATATATTTCATTTTGAATTATTAAAGCCTTTGTATATTATTAAAATGTAAGATAATAGTTTTGATTTATGAACACATTAAATTTATTATTTTATTTATGTGTATATTGCAAAGCGTAAGACTATTAAATCATTTAACATTAAGATCATTGTTTTTTATGTAATTTTTTTTCGATTTTTATTTTGATTAAGCTTATGTAAACTGATTTTTTTAACGCTAGCCACCCCATTTCTCTTATTATCTCATTAAGAATGTAACTGGTTGACAACAATACTTTAAATACATTTTGTTTTAAATAGTTTATTTAGACAAATTAAGATTATTAGTTAATACATATAATTTATTTTTCTATTGTTTAATTTATAAGTTAACTTAAAATGTTAATCTTCATTTTTAAGAGTTATATTGAAATAATTTGATTTGTATACAATTGTTTAATTTTTCACATTCTTCGAGAAGATTTCTTTCCTTTCCTTTTCCTTTTCTTTTTATTAATTTTTGCCGTTTTTGACAAGTTATTGACTTGAAAAATGGGTGATAAACCTTCATCTGTATAGATTGAAATGTCATCCTTAGTTTTGTTCTCTTCTTCTGTTATGTGTTGGTCTTGTTTGTATTCACTTTCTCCAAATATGTATTTTTCACCATTACCTTCTACTTGAGGTGTTTGGTTGTTTAATACTATGCTATCTGTTACCCTATCATTATTATCTATTTTGTTCCTCTCTGTCATATCTTGCTCATGTACAAAATCTATTTCTTCCTGTATGTGTCGTTCAGCCTTACCTTCAATTCGAAATGTTTCGCTTCTTTCTTTTACGTTATAAGTTATCTTACCTTCTGTATCATTTTCGTTCTCTTCTTCTGTAATGTGTTGGTCTTGTTTGTATTCTCTTTCTCCTAATATGTATTGTTCACCGTTACCTTCTACTTGAAGTGTTTCTTTGTTTGTTTCTAGACTGTCTATAGTATTTGTATTTTGTACGTCTGGTGTAAAATTTCTTTCTACGTATCTTTCACCCTTAACTTTAATTTGAAATGTTTGGTTGCTTTTTTCTGGGTTTTCAATTTTCTTGGCATCATTATCTGTCTTGTTCTTTTTTATACTTCGTACATTATTTACATGTTCTTTATTATTGTCTAGTTTATTAACTTTACCCAATAGATTTTCGCGTTGATTATGGATCATATTGTTAGAATTCTTATTTATTGTTGCTTTCTTTTCAAAAAAAGAAATTTTGTTCGAAATTCCTTAAAAAATATTAATATTTATAATTTTTAAACGAAATGTTAATTTTTTATTTATCCTTAAACATAACTATATACTTGACAATTGGAATTGTGTTATCTGAAGTAATTACTAGTATATATTTTAAGAATAAGAATGGATTTATTATTACCCTATTCATTTACATTTGTCCCACTTGACCTACGACTGTCGTTAAGTTGAGTGTAATCAATATAAAAGTTTTGGTTCATTAAGTATTTGATAAATTTACATTTACGTTATTTAACAAGAGTTTCCTGGCTTTTAAATGTCAAAAGCTCATGTATTGTTAATTCTTTTGACACTATATTTTTGTTTATAGAGGTGTAATTAGAATTTTGATATGGGATATATACTATATATTATACAGGGTGTTCAGTAAGTCAGGAAACGGGTTTCTATTGTTCTCATTGTTTGTAACAATGAGAACAATGGAAACCCGTTTCCTGACTTACTGAACACCCTGTATATTATATAGTANTTTCCTGACTTACTGAACACCCTGTATAATATTTATAGTGTATATATCCTTCATAAATCATACTATATACTTAAAAAATATTTAGTATCTTCTCATAATAAAAAAAATAATTCTGCTGTAATATGGAATTATTTTTGTTTTGGCGTCATATTTATAATTTATTTTTATTATTATTATTTATTTTATTTCATATTCATAAATCAATTTTGATATTTTCAATTGCCTATTTATAAGGTATTAATTACTTTTTAGAATCTATTATAAGGGTGTGAACTTAATTTTATCAATTTGGTACATATATAATTAACTAGTTTATTTATTTATTAATAATCTAATTAAAAAAATGACTAGTGAATTATAAATTTTGGATCAATATTTCAGAAATTATTAACAGTTCAAAGTTTTAACTGGCGTTGAGTTAGGGGTGCTGCTGCTATTATTATCGCTAATCAATTTAGCTAAATGTACTCTTGACTCACCTTTAAACTTCTTCTTTTTCAGTTCCTCGTTTTGATTGGTTACTGGAGTTGTACCATTAGGAACTTTTATATCGGTAGTTATAATTTTTGTATCATCTTTTTGAATTGGGCGATTTAAATCAGAAGAATGTTCTCTTATTTTTTTTCTTGTGTTAATTTCTTTAGTTATATTGTTTTTTTCAGCACTTTTAATTAATTTTTCAAACATCAAGACTGTATTAGTCACGTTTACCGAATACATATTTTCCATTTTTTGTATACAGTATATATATGTAAAATTATTGAACTAAATATATATTTAAACACTAATAACTATAGAAGTATAAAAAACTGGATTAGTCGAAAGTTTAAGAACACGTAAGTGAATTACGTCTGCAGGTAACTTCCATGTACATTTAGCAAATGTAAATAAATATATTGTTTTTTATCTATAGAAACAAAATAGTTGTTTATAGAACATGAAAATGTGTTGAGCCTGTATAGTATAATAAAATGTAATAAAGGTTAAAGGTGTTAATCAGGTTTAGATAGAGAACTGGTGATTATAAAAGAAATAGCTAGATTTAATGGGTATAACGAAAACGTAATTTCAAAATTAGTCCGAACACAAAAGTGGAATAAAGAAAGGAGGACAGCTAGTACACTCAGTATCATGAGGAACAAAAAGTAATTAGATAACCCATTTTATATTATTCGGGTATCTCATATGGACTAGCTAGAATATTGAAGAATTTTGGTATGACTTTAGTAACGTCTAATAGTAATAATTTGAGAGATTTATCAGGTAATCTTATGATAAGCTAGAAGAAGGGGGGAAATCAAGGAAATAAAATACAATGTAAAAGTTGTAATAAATGTTACGTAGAACAAACATAAAGAAATATAGGGGTCAAATTTAAAGAACACTTAAGAAACATTAAAAATCAAGAAGTTGAGAAATCTCCAATGACTGAACACATTTATTGACATACAATCACTCCATTAAAACCATAAAACTAATTAAGAACGTAAATAATTACAATGAACTTAATATTAGGGAGGCAATAGAAATATTTTAAAATAAAAACAATATAATTAATTGGGATCTTGGCCCACTGAAAAATTCATGATTTGTTGTACGGTTGTCTTTACTGATTTTGGCAATTTAAGTAGTGTGTGGTTAAAAGTATCTTTGTGTCACACGAAAACAATAAATAGTTGTAAGTTTAAAATCGGTGTGTCAGGTTGTTACGGATTGTTGAAGACTCGTTCAAAAGAGTATGGGTATTGCAGTCTATATTGTTGCATAAACAAAACGCCGTGTCACTCTTTAGCACCTTTGCCTACACGGCTCCTCGTTTTATTATTTTCAGTTGAATTCGTCTCCAATAGATAGCGGCAAACATTACTATAGAGTCTTGGAATAACAATAAACACCCGTTGAAACGTGTTGCCCCCACTTGGCATGTTCGTAGTCGTCGTCGTCGCGTTCCCCCGGAATTCTTTCCATCTGTTCGGCACTTGTACCGGTAGTGGTCTAGAACGTGTACGCAAAGTGTGCGTGCACTGTGTGTAATATGTTTATGTGTGTGTGTGTGTCCGTGCGGCCGTCGCGTTTCTATAGGTAACAACACACCAGCAGTCGTGGTGCGTACTGCCGTCGTGGTCGTTTCGGTTATTGTCGATTTCGTGTATATTTTTTTTTTTTACAATTGTTCTTATCGTGAATTATATGAATTGTTTGCAAACCGTTATCGTTTGGCACATCTCCGTAGTAATTTTACATGTATTATCTCATAACAACAAGTCGTTATCAATTGTGACAACAGAGTACCGGCAAATGTAGGCCGTTTTCAGTAGTGCGGATTTTTTTTTTTTTTTTCAAACATCTCGTTCATCCGGCACAAGACGTAGCGAAGTGTCACAACACGAAAAAATAAGTTTAGGATAATACACAAACATGTAAGCGTCATTATTGTTATTTACATTAATATGTGCTCGCATACACACCGTTTGTTAACGTCACCACGAATACTACTGCCATTATGTGCTCTACTACTACTACTACTACTGCTGATGTTATTTTGTAAGAACAATCGCGTCTGTTATGTTCAAAATAACTCGTGTACGCACAAAACTATCGCATCGGTACGTTGTGTGCGGTTTGCCGCTTTCGTCAGCTGATTATGTGCCGGCTTTTCGCGACACTCAAACAGCCAACAACCGAATGTCGCGGCGTTACCCCTTTTTCATTCAAGTCACATTGCGCCTATCGATTCAATGATAAAAACAGGTTTTTCCTCCTCGTCGGTTATTTCGACCGTCATGCAAATTTTTCAATTTCCCGACCGTTATTAATGTCTCGCACACCGATTCCCCACCTCTTTGTTGTACGGTACACCATCGGGTGCACAACTCGGCCTGTACTGCCCGAAGCTGATATTAGCATAGACTACACGTATGTGCGCCCCTCTCGGTGTACAACTGCATATTTTATTTATAAATATATACATTTTCAAAGTCACGTACATCTCGAACGGTATGGTCAACGTTACCCTCGAAACGTTCCTCCGCCACGAGCCTTAAAGCGAACAGTAATTATTAGTCTTCTCTTAGGTATTGTCCTAATATCATTATTACAACGCCAGTTCTCGGTACACATCAACCGACTAGCATAGGCTATTGTTTCGGCGAATGATTCGGATTCCTCGTAAGTGTCAAATAACATCATCATATGGTTTTTGTGGTTACAAAAAACAAACATCTTGATCGATCTGACTATTTTTTTTACCTAATTCATGGGAATTTAACTATACGACGAGCGAAGAAATGCTCGATTTTTATCCGGACTTAAAATTAATTTTAATTTGTCACTTTTTTTCTTAGATATTTGCTGCTTTTGATCAATTGCTAAAAGAATACTTACTACTACATCTAATGTTTCGATCGTTCACTGCGATCATAGAGTCACGCGTCTAGAGTTCGTTAAAAAAATACCTTTTTCACGCTGAATACGCTTCGGGAAAAAGAACATTATCTGATGGTTCGGACAATTTCCGGGCCAGGTGGGCGTGTGCTGTACGAAATCTACTCGGTTGATTTTTGCCCCCTATGAACACACACCTGAATAATTTGGGGTTGTTATTGAAGTTATAAAAGTAATAACATTAAAAGCATATCGTTACATTTGAACCGATCAGTTTTATACTTAACCGGGCTAAAGTTACCTTAATGCAAACCTGAATATTATAATTAATTCTATCGTTTAGCGTAAATAATTTATCGATTATTGAATTGTTCTTAATTAATGCATTATAGTAAATTGTATTATTTAGCTATAAAGTGTTTATGGCATTTTCGTTCGAGCCTATTCAAACTGTGCTCAAGAACAAGTTTTCCTTTTTGAAATCTATTCATATTCGTACCACGTATAATTTTTAACAATTATAATTGACTGTAATTATCATTCATATCGATGGCTGTCTTATGGAATTTAACATGCATTTGTATCGATTCGATATACCGTTCGTTTGTGTGTAGTAATACCAACAAAGGCTTTCATTTATGTTTGAGTAGCAAACAATATTACCTGTTTCGTTATGTTTGGGCGACAAAAGGGCTGGTAGTCAACCTTTGGGCGGTTCTCCTGGTATTGACTATTATACCAGTGGATTTTTTTACAGTTAACAATAGTGAAACTTTGTACCATCCCCAGGTATTACAATTGGCAAAATTATGTTTGTTAATATCAGGTAAACAATATTGGTGATATTTTTTTTATTAAAATGGAATAGAACTGTGCCAAGTATTACCGCGAGTATTATGTCAAACTAGCCATACATTACAAAAAAAAAAATGTCCAATATAAACTGCACGTAACGTCCTTGACAGTGTCTTGTGCGATGTCCATATAAAAACGGTCATCGAGGACAGCAGGATTTGGTAAACGGTTAATGGCAAATCATTTTTCAATTACTCATTGATGACTTCTATATGATACCGGACACAAGTATAAAAGGCGATATTTGAACTGGTATATGTCCATAAAAATATTTATTTAAAACTGAATTTAATAGCAGGAATTGTATTACGTGTTTCTGATTTAGAGTTGTTTAGATTGGACTATAACGTTTCTTTCGTTCAATATTGTAAATTCCAATTGTAATCAATTAATCTTACTAATTTGGTTTTGCCTTGCCATAAGTCTATGTACGTCTTTTTTTAGTTACGCGATTTCAGAAACGTCCAATCGCGTACTTGATGCACATTCAATTTAATTACTTTTAATTAGTATCAATGACATTCCAAACTTAACTTAAATTAACTACTTGACGTGTTGTAATATTTTTGTGTCAGCAAGCTTATTAATTTAATTATACATTTTATTGTCTAACAAAAATATTCTTATCTATTTTTATAAGTTTTAAAACTGTTTGTTTCGTTTGTTGTTTATATTTTGATCTCAATTTCTTTTCTATACATGGAAAAACTGGGAATATGTTTTATAACATTACTGATTTGAAGTAGTGTTGGTGATTGAAATTTTAAAAATAACCGAATAGAATTTGAATTAAACGATTGGTGACATAAGAAAAATTGCCGTCGCCAAGCGGTGGCTTGGTAATTTTTATGTCTATAAATGTGATGACGTGTGAACACTAGAAAGCGGGGTTGGTTGTGAAGTAAATATTTATTCAATTTCGAAGTCTTATTTTACGGTTTGTTGACTGTTGTGGTAAAAAATTAACGTGTGTGTACAATAGTTACTTTTATTTTTCGTTTATGATCTCAATGACTTGAAAACCGCGCAATGACCCTAAACTACAGCTGCTCTTACATCGCCGCCCGGTATATATCGGTGGCGTTATGATGACATCACTTTTTAAAATTTTATAATTTATTATTCTAATAGGATTTTCGTTGCAATACGGTTGGGTTACATCGCCAAATCGGTCAAACCGATTGTTTTTCCTATTTCGACTGACGTTGATCAGGTCATGTACACAAATCTTAAAGTGCACTTGACGTATGTTGCATTTTATTCGTTTGAAACTCACGAATGTCTCTTAAGAAAAGTTTACAACTTTCAAATCAATTTATTGGCCGTGAGACAGTAACGAGATCGAACTGAGGTGTTAGTTTTTTGACACAAAATCGATGATAACATACGTATCGTACTAATTACATTGATTTAACTAATTAAAAAATACTGAGACATTGTATAAACAAGAATTTAGTATTCGCCGG